CTCTAGATTTTGTTATTTAATTGGCTTTAACAAGCTATGGCTCAAAGCAGTATATTAACGTAAATTTTGTGCTCTTGATATTGATAGGCACAGTTTCCAAAAACCCTACTACGTCTTTGTATATTTAGTTTCTTATGTATATTAAAAACTGTCTTCACGTTCGCTGACCTAAACCTCCAGTTTTTAATTGTTTTTGTTGCTTTGTTGATCAAAGCGGAGACGCGCGAGATTTGACTTAAGAGTGGCGTGAGGTTTGTTTCTTGCTCAAAAGTGTCAAATTCACAGAAAAAAAAGTCACATATATCCTCTCCGAACTTACGCACCACAATTTCAGCTGCCTTGCCAATTTCGAATCTTTTGATCTCAATATTCTCATTTAGTTAACGTCATCACAATCTAAAGATCTTTTTGTTTTTCCCTTGGGTTTGTATCAGTAGCGGTATCGGAATATACGCACACAAGCATGCCATCTCCGAGGGGGTGTGGAGATGACGTTAATCACTAATTATGTCGTTAATTTGATAACTTAACTAATATGAATTTTCTTAAGGAGATAAACACAAACTGCTTTGACTGGTGTTCAAGGGTGTCGTGAACGTCACGTTTGGTCTGCTTTGACTTACGCTTTGTTGGTAGTGCGATACAATCCGATTTTAGCTTCTCTCCAAGCTCGCTAATGGATCTGCGCACCCTAGAGCTATACTGGATTCACCATGAAGTTAAAACCTTCTGATTTTTTTTTGAATTTTTTTTTTTATCATAGTTATAATATTTTCTTACTAATCAACGCAGAAAACAAATGGTAATGAATGATCAGTTGTGTTTGTCATGTAATCGTGAGGTGGCCAAAAATAGTTTGTGCTTCTCTTCAAACAAGCAATTAATTTGATCAAGATTTCAAGGTGAAAAATTTCAGACTATTATAACGCTCCTATAGGTTCTATAATACCTTTCACCTCTTTTTAAAAATCTATAAATACTTTCGCAACATCGGCAACCAATATTACTTTAACTTTCAATGATTTTAGATGAACTTAATTAGTGCTTCTGAATTGATCTAATGAGTCGTTGTTTTTTCATATGATCTTGGACAAGTCTGTGCTTTTTAACGAGACATTGACCATTACATGTCAAAAGATAACCACCCGTACTAGGTTAGTTCAGTTTTCAGTTTAAGAACTTGATTAGGTTGAACTTCACATTTTTTAAAGTCCAGTCTCATGTTACCCGTCGTTGATAGGTAGAGCTTCGCATCTTCGATATTAGACTTGCCTATTCCAACATGTGTGAAACACTAATTATTGAAACACTAATTAAGTTCATCTAAAATCATTGAAAGTTAAAGTAATATAGGTTGCCGATGTTTTGCAGGCCTGCTCGCACCTCCTTCACCTCATTATTAGTGAAACCCAAGAGGACCACATGGAACCAAGGTTAATCTCTATTATGGTTAAATTTTCCTTGGAGAACAATCCGATTCTTGTCTATATAAGTAGATTCAGATCATTCTTGTGGTTGTATGCT